ATGTAATGTATTATAATCTTATACATTTATTTTTCATAAATTTTAAGCATTACAATATAATTATTTGTTTTCATAGATTTAATTTCACTGTCTTAATTATAAATACCAATGGGAATGGGGTGGGCTAATGTTGGGGGCTGTAAATATAAAATGCTACCCTATTTAATGCATAGGGTAGCATAATTTGGTTTTTATATGAAAAGGAAAACAAAAAAGTGTATCTCTATCCCTTCTCCTTTATGATTTAATATATATATATATAACAGAAATTAATAATGAAAGAAAAGAAAAGGATAAGGTAAAATAATTGTACATAATTAGGAAAAGGTTAAACCCCTATTTTGGTCCCTGAACTATTGTACGGACCCCCGATTTGGTCCCTAAACTAAAGAAATCCCTTATTTGGTCCTTGAACTGTTGTACGGACCCTTGAGTTGGTCCCTAAACTATTGTACAGACTCCCAAGTTAGTCCCTAAAATATTGTACAGATGCCCAATTTGGTCCTTACTGTTTACCAATTTAACCCCAACTTGTTCCTTCTGTTAAATAATAGCTCAGGGACCAAATTGGGGCGAAATTGTAAACAGTAAGGACCAAATTGGGGGTCCGTACAATAGTTCAAGGACCAACTTAGGCCAAATTATAAACAGTGGGGACCAAATTAGGGGTCCGTACAATAGTTTAAGGACCAAATCGGGGTCCGTACAATAGTTCAGGGACCAAATCGGGGGTCCGTACAATAGTTCAGGGACCAAAATGAGGATTTAACTTTAGGAAAATAGAAGGGCATTGCACATAAAAAAAAAAATCAAAAGACTAAAAAAAATCGTAACCACACAAATACTTATTATGTAATATATTACAATCTTATACATTTATTTTTCATAAATTTTAAGCATTACAATATAATTATTTGTTTTCATAGATTTAATTTCACTGTCTTGATTATAAATACCAATGGGAATGGGGTAGGCTAATGTTGGGGGCTGTAAATATAAAATGCTACCCTATTTAATGCATAGGGTAGCATAATTTGGTTTTTATATGAAAAGGAAAACAAAAAGGTGTATCTCTATCCCTTCTCCATTATGATTTAATATATATATAACAGAAATTAATAATAAAAGAAAAGAAAAGGATAAGGTAAAATAATTGTATATAATTAGGAAAATAGAAGGGCATTGCACATAAAAAAAAAATCAAAAGACTAAAAAAAATTGTAACCACACAAATACTTATTATGTAATATATTACAATTTTATACATTTATTTTTCATAAATTTTAAGCATTACAATATAATTATTTATTTTCATCGATTTAATTTCACTGTCTTGATTATAAATACCAATAGGAATGGGGTGGGCTAATGTTGGGGGTGTAAATATAAAATGCTACCCTATTTAATGCATAGGGTAGCATTTTATATATATATATAGATATAGATAAGATTTTATACTATTAACTATTGTTTAAAATGCAAAATTTCAGTTAAATGGTTACTTATTTATTATATAATTTCTATGATGAAATAATTATAAATATTACGTAAATCAACAAAAACTAAACCAAGCAATTAGATTTTTTATACTAAAATTTTTAATATTTAAAAATTACGTTAAATTTTAATTAATTTAAATTAAAATCAAATTAATTAAACCTCATAAAAATGATTCTTTTAGTTTTTCTTTTATTTTAAAATTTTAAATTAAACAATTTGTTTAAAAAAAATTATTTAAACTAATAAATCATTAGTAACAA